GGCCTTCGTATTTTTTAAAACAAATAACGGGGAAAGATCGGCCTTCCATTTCTTTCAGTTTTTGATAAAACAACTGAATAGTAAGATAATAACTTTTCCTAAACCACTGAACTACACAAAGTGTCAATTTACGATATGTATGTTATAGAGTGCAAAGTTTTGTCGTTTCTATCAATCCAAATGAAGAAAGTTTTCTACGATATGAGCGAAACAACAGAAATGAGCAGTACTGGTAAACTCAGTCCATAAGACCCGAAATTCAGTCTTTTTACAGCTGTCCCTCTACCTCCTTTCACTCCCCTTCCCTTCCTCCTCCTCATTCCTCACTCTCCTCTTAGAAAACTACAAAACTGACTAAGATGCAAAACTGACTTGACTCACATGGAAAATCACAAACTTGACAAAAAAAGAAAATTACAGCAAAAAACAGTCACTGATAATCGATAACAAAAAAGCGTGAAATCATTAAAATTGCACAGAATCTCGGTTAGTTTAAGCTAGGCAGAAAAATAAAAAAGTGACACGATATTCTCATTATTTAGACCTGGTGTCATAAAATTGGCAAACTTTTAGCATGTGAAATAAACAACAAAATTTTGAAAGGAAAAAAAGAAACGCCAGGTGGTAACCGGACAAAAAGGGGAAGAGAAGAGTTACCATTGAATGAGCTGATGTCCAAATGGCTAACGTTCGGCATACAAACAGTGAACAGATCTTCGACCGCTGCAGAAGGCAAACTTACGGCGCAATCAATGCACAATTTACGAAGATGATGCGCTGCCTGAAAAAAGTTTTCCAAATTATTCGTCCATTTCTACTCGATTTAGCTGCTTTTTTAACATAGAGCAATTTCATGTTACCAGCGCAACCCACAACGCTTTACATTGGCTTCAGTGACTAGAACTGCACACCGACTGTTAACTGCTGATGTACACATTCAAGCTTTTTATGCGTTTTTTGCAGCAATGCAATGCGAAAAACGCATATTGACGAGAGGTTGTCT